TCTTTGCACTCCGGGTTATGAGTTTCACCTGTGGGCCTACCCACCCTATGAGTGTGTCGGTGAGCGGCCTGGGGTCGGGACTCCACCTGCTTTAGGTATTGCCGTGGTTAGACCACTGACATTGTGAGTGTAAGGCATCCACTCACTTTGACTATGTGCAACCCCCACCAACAAGAGAAAGCTGATGCCTCTGCTCTGAAAGGAGGGGTAACTTAGGCACTAGGTTGCTTTAATATGTTGAGAACCTTATTCAAAAAGATATCAGAATGTGGTTCACAGCAATGTTAAAGAAATCGGTGATCGGTATTCATATGTAAACACAGAGCCTTAGATTTTTATAAAGTTTTTGAATTCTTGCACACAAAATTATGCAAATACACCATGTTATTTCCCTGGACAAAGGTTAATATTCTATTAAAAACAGCCAAGCATAGTGGCATATGCCTGTAATCCCAACACTCAGGAGGCTGAGGCAAGAGGATCACTGTGAGTTTGAGGACAAATCAGCCTACATAGTGAGTTCAAGGCCAGTTTGAACTACAGATGAGATCCTGTCTCCATAACAAACAGAACCAATAAGACAAACAAACAAAAGAAGTATGCGTGCAATAAATAATATATCCATTTTAACCTTCCTCTTCCTATATTTACCAAATAAAAATCAAAGACAAATCTGATACAGACATTTTTCTTTCTTTTTGTTTGTTCTTTCCTCAACTATCAACCCATTATTAGAGATGGAATTACTAAGTGCTTAATAGCCTATTTATGCTTGCTAAGATTATGAATCTTATTTTCCTTCCTTAAATATCTGCATGTGAAAAAAAATGCTAACTAACTTCCAAATTTGAGAATCAAAGTAAGCAGAATTGGATTTCTGAGAATCAAAGTAGCCGAAACCAGCTGGAGCTTGTTTCAGAGCATCTCGGCTGGCGTTTCTGGTGGGAGTACAGACTGGGGAATGGAGGCGAGCCACGTGGAGAGCTCTGCTGTTGACCGGGGTAGGGTCCCAGCCAGACAGTGCCTGGGAAGATCTGACTTTGTGGCTTGGTTTTATACATCAGTCCTCTCATGTTACATTCATTAGTCTTAACCCTGATGTGAACTCTTTAAAATTGAAGAGTACCTTTAAGTAAGTAGTCTCCTTCCTCACAAAGTATTCTGTAAGAGCTCTGTAATCACAGCCCACACACTAAAATCGATGTGTTCACCACTCTTCCCGTGTCTCGATCATTTTTGTACATTTAAGTTCTATTACCCTGACTTACTAAAAAAACAAAACAAAACAAAAAAACTAATCCAGCGCTTGTTTGAAAACCTCAAATTATTTTTCCTTGATTTAGAATTTTTAAGACACCCTTTTCTTTTGAAATTCAAGTTATATATTATTAAGTAATTTGGTATGACCACTAGAATTAAATTAATGCCAGGGGAATCTCTTAACACTGAAAAAACTTACTGTGGCAGCAAATCTTCCCTCCTCTCCCTGCCTTTCAACCCTCCGTGCCACACACAGTAAGTGCCAGCGCCCCTCTGAGTATTTCGTATTTATTCTCATTTCTCTTTGTCACAAAAATCCTGAGACCTGTTCTTCTCCTCCATTATAAGGCTGAGAATCAATAAAATTGAATGAAGTACCCAAAGTGTCACAGCCAGTACGGAGCAGGGCTCCTTCTGAAACATGTGGAGTTGATTCCTGGTTACACCACACTATTTTGCTACCATCTCTTTTTAGAGAGTGTGCTTATATATAGCATTTAATCAAATTACAGGCGCAGATTGTCCCCAATTTACAATGATTTGATTTACAATTGTTTTTGGCTTTTTGATGGTACAAAAGTAATATGCATTCAGTAAAAAATTACACTTTGAATTTTGACCTTTCTTGGAGAACCAAAAAGCAGTATGATTGATGCCCTCTCATGATGCTGGCAGCAGCGAGGAGCTGTACCTCTCAGGCAGCCGGGCTGGAAATATCTGCTACTCTAACATGCACTGACTTAAGCTCTGATGTTCAGAAAGTTAGCAACTTCAAGTGCTTTCGATTTTTATTTTCACTTTACTGTGGATTTACTGGGCTTGACACTGTATTAGGTAAACTATGCATGTGTTATATATACCATATGGATATATATTATATACCGTATTCATATATTAGATATATTACTGGACTACAAATACACTATACTATACTATATGTACTATATATATATTACATAAATATATTATATACTATATAAAGATATACTACACAAATATTTTCTACTTAAATACATACTATATACTTCATAAATATATATGGTATACTATATGTAATATTATACGTAGTATGCTATATATGTACAGTATATAAATATGTATTAAAAATTGTATAATGCTCAATCAAATTTATTATATATAGAAGCATATGTAATGTCTGCATTCTACACAACTGATGTGTTTGTCATGATCTGAGAGTAGAGTTCTTGAGAATCAAAGTGTTTTTTGCAGGTACAATTATAACACACATTAGGAATTGGTGTCCTTGTGTATCCTAAACTGAAATATCCCCACATGATGTCTATAGAACATCTCAGACATAACTGCTTCTCCCCACAGGTCAGTCTCATAACGACCTTGTCACTGATGCTAGCCAACAGTACAGGTAATGTTTTCCTTAAAGTATCTTGCATTAGTTACATAGAAAAAATTTCTATTTATAAAATTGGCCAGTTTATTAAAAATAATGCTAAGCCTTGGTTTGATAATATGGAACTACAATAACCTGCAGCAAAAGGAATTTATTGTTCTTTGTGGTGTTGAAGAGAGCTAGCGATGTGCACCAGAACAGCACGCAGGGAAACACCATGCACCTGTTACTCTCGGTTGCTGCTGCGCTGTACTAATTGTTAAATATTTTTAACAGAGAGACCCAGTTACATAAACATGTACAGCTTAACTCTTCCTGTGCTGGTATTAAGTGGCAAAGATAAATTTTAATAAAAAACTCTAACGTTCCTACTTTATGCATTACAAACACTTGATTTAAAAACAGAAGCCATATTTTCTTTGCAATCCATAAATTCATTTTTGAACCTCGTAAGTTTAACTTGATGTTTTGACTAGATAAACTTCTTGCTGCTTAATAAAAATGCTTAGTCAAAGGAAATATGGTAACAGAATAAAGGAGATTGAAGGAACTAACTTCTTATTCAAAAACACAATTTTAAAGGACTTAATTCATCTTGAAAAATATGGTTTAATTTTTAATAGGTATGCATCAACATGGATGTGGATATATATGTACTTGATAAATATGCCAGCATTTTCTGTGATAGATGAAACAGACAAAATGTAAATTTGACAATCTGAAGTGTTCATTGCTCAGGCTAATGCTTGCATTTTTAAAGCTGAGCTCTTAATTGCCACAAAGAAGCTCCTTTTTTTCTTACTTTTATTATTCCTAATACAGCAGGTGTAGCATCAATTCAAGTAGAAATGTCCTTGTTTTTGCATAGCTTTTGGCAGAACAGGCAGCTTCGCTTGGCCTGTGCAAAGAATAATGCAGGTGGATTTAAGAAACTAAAATTAATGAGCTGGAGTATAAAAAAATGAAGTGTGAAGCCAAGTTAGCAGAGAGTGAGATAAATACACAGCAAAAAATGCAGGGGTGAATGTGGGAAGCTCTGCAGGGATTAATTTACTAACAGGTATAACTTAAAATGCTTTCAGGAAAAAGCATCAAAGTGAAAAAAAATTTAGGCATATCGTGATCCCTCCAAGAACTTTCATCAAGCAGACTAACTAAAGGTCAACGGTGTCTTAAAGATACTGCTCCGCCCATAATGATAGCATTTGTATGACAATAAAAGTAATAGTCTGCAAGAAGGTGTGAACTACACCTGCCAGCTGCGCTGCTGGCTGAGGGCAGCTTGGCGTTTCTAGTTAGGCAGCCTCCATAACTTTCAACTCTATTGTGTTTGAGTTACAGTTGAACCACAAGGAATTACAGTTCATCCCCAAGAGACAAAAAGTACGTCTAAATGTAAACACATGATTTAATTTGTAATCAGAAAGGAGTGTAGCACATAGAAGAAAAACTGGCAAATTGTTGAGAATTTCCTTTTCTTTGGTTGAGATTTGCCCTACATTATTACTTACTCATATGCAATTGCTTAATTGGGGGACTACAAAATAGCTTATAGTTTTATGATAAGTAAAAGAAACATTTATTATCTCCCACTCTCCCATCTTAACTCCACCACTCTGCAAGTTTATCACTGCTTGATTTTTTTCATTTTTAAAATGTTTTACTTTGATATATTTTGAAGGACTTAAAAAGAAACCACACTAACATGCTAAATCTTAGTATCCTGGTAGGGAAGAAGAGAACAACAAAAACAACAACAACAACAACAAAATGAAGGAAGTTCATTCCCAAGAACTCACATTTATCACTTCTATTTCTTGATGTAATTATTGAAATTATGAAAGATTCCTGATAAAAAGCAAGACCACCTGATAAAATGTAAAACCAAACTGATCTAATGAATGCCCTCTAATGAGTCCCTCAAATCCAAATGTCACATCCAAAAAAGTCCTTCTCTAGAGATGATGGTTCACGGGTTTGCCCCCATGTCTCCATAGAACGCAGCTTCCAAGTTTCCCCTCATTGCAAACAGCAGCTGGTGAGGTCTCAATGTTTGCTTTCCCAGTAATCCTTCTACTGTGGTCTTCCCATTACAGGATTTTCTGTCCACAGAGAACAAGATTACCATACACAAAAAAGCAGAGTTATTTCTAGCCTGTACTAGCAATTTTCTGAAGATCTTCTGAAAAGAAATTCCACAACTTCATAGACTATAATTGTTTGGCCAGCTTTAATGTCTGACTTCCACAGAGGTAGAAGAGCCTATGCAAAATGGAAATCAAGGTAAAAACTCTGAAATGATTCCCCCTTCCTCTTCAGAAAAAATGTTCAAGCTTCTCTGCAGAGGTGCCCTGAGCCAGGCTTTGCCTACCTGCCCAGTCTTCCCACCGCACACATGATTCATCAGCACCGTGGAATGAGCACACCACGTAGTTGTTGCTTTCTGGCTAGACTTGTCTGGCCCTCCTCCCTCCACATGCCCTCCTCCTGAGAGCCATCCAGCCGAGGGACTCCTTCCAGGTCTCTGTCCTGAAACCGCACTCTGTCATTCTGCCTCAAGGGGTGCTCCGGGGACTCTCTCCCGGACATTCTGTAATCTGTGTCTAACACCTTGGCTGCTTTTCCTTGCTCATTTTAATGATCTCTGTAGTTGTCCTCACTGTGAGGCTGTGACCTGGAAGGCAGGGAACAAAACGAATTCTTTTAATTTTAAACACCAATGCTTTACTGGATACACTAGCACAAAGTACACTCTTAATAAATATTTCTTGCATAAAAATTGAAAGTAATGTCAAGTGAAACATTGAAATTTAAACTTTTCTCCATGTGTGCTGCTTGCCCCAGGTCTAATCTCACAGCTTTTCTTGACTTTGACTTCTCTTCTGAAGTTTTGTGGGTTTTTTCAAAATATAATTTTTCTGCTTCTGTTTTTTGTTTTTTGTATTTTATTTAAACTTTGTTTTCTATTTTTATGTTGCTCTTCCTAAAGTCTTGTATAGTTATTACATGATTATAATAGGTGAGAGTTGTGAATAAAAATTATACCACAATTTAAATTTTTAAAAATCTGTCCTTAGCTATAAATGTGTGAATAACTTAAAATTATACCTATGTTGTATATTTCCTGCCACTATGCTCATCTCCAAAATCAAAGTCCATTTTCCCCTGTAAACTTGCTTTATTTGCAATAACTTTTATATTAGGATAATCCATGGAAGTTTCGACGCTCTGTACTTTTAAAGCTCGAGGTTTATCAACTTTGGTCTTTCAGTCTAAAATTTTCATAACTTCTTTCCCTCCTGAGATTAAGATATAGGGGCAGACAACAAGCCTGAGGGAAGGACATTTTGATTGTTTATGAAGCATGTGGATAAATGGCGCCTGACTTGGTAAGAAGATTAAAGCTAAAAGTGTCTGCCCTGATGGTGGTTTTTAGATGTATAAATATATGTGTGTCTACACGTGTGTATGTGTTACAGAAATATCTTTAGAGACAGACTTTTTGGGGTTTTGTCTTCTCATATGAATCCTGCAAATGAAGCAGTTTTACTTTGACCTTTTATCATACTGTGTTAAAAATACATTTTTTCACCATGACTCTTCACTATATCAAATAGAAAAGTTCTGTTAAGTCTTTCAGTTTTGTAAAACTACATTTAAATTTAACCTCATAGGAATTCCAGGTTATGTGCCACTATTTTCCCAATTGGAGGCCGATGAATATGATTATTTACTTCAATCACAGTTGAACATGATACTCTCAAGAATAACAAGAAAAAATGCACCTTGACTCGGGAAAATAGAAAGATGCACATTTACTTCCTTTCATTTAGTTTTGTCACAGAATTTAGTCTATCTATTATTATTAAATATCAGTGTTGTGCACTGAGCTAGATACTTTACTAGCTTACTCTTCTAGTCTTACCTAGTCGCTTTCTTTGTGCTGATTTTACACAGCTAGAGACAAGATGAATGGCCTGGCTGGACTTTAAATTCTTCACCTTTAGCATTTTCTTTACTGTTCCCTTTTTTTCTAATCCTTGCAAATTTAGACACTATAAAAAACTGTTATTTGCCTCATAATAGCCTTTTCAGTGTGTTTCACAGTCTTTTGTGGAAAATAATGACATAATGATAGTGTTCTCAGACCTGTAGTTTCTACTTGATAAACTAGCAATTATATGATTAAAGCATTTTTAGAAACTCCCATTAAGTATATGATACTCTAGGAACCAGTCCATCATGTAATTACAGAGTCAGAACAGAAATAATTTACATCACTAAAAACTATCTCAAAGAGTATTTGCAACCAGCAGTAAGTGATTTTTTAATGGAAAAAAATCAAGAAATATTAAATAATTCTATATATAATACACTTTTAATGTCAGGACTATGAATTCTGTATTTTGTTAATTAGGTTTCAATTTTTATTTTCTGTCATTAGAAACAGAAAACTATGCTAACTCAGTTGGAAACTTACTGGATACATTAGAACAAAACAGATTTAATGATTCCTCTCAAAAAAGTATATTTAAGAGAACTGAGACAGCCAGGCAGCAACTACATTTTTAAGTTCTTTGATGAATACCAATATTATCAGGCATTTTTCTTAGATTCATAATAGACAAATTTGACTAAATATCTGTGATTTTCTTAAATGCCAAATCATTAAACCAAAATTTGATGAGTTGCAAAAGATACAGATATATATTTCTACTCAATTTTTATTAGAAAACAGGGAGAACACTTCGTAGGGTGATCAAGGAATACAAACGGCATGCACTTACAGAACCTACCCTCAGGATGGAAATGTACCAATAGGTGCCTCTTTTCATTTTTCTGTTTAATTTTCTGAAGCAATAGCGACTCTGCTCTCCCTGTTTGTTGACAAAGATTATTGAAAATTACGGTGGTCTGCTTTCAGAACCAACCCTTCAGAGGGATGACTATACACAGTCATAGGAACAAGCACTGCCTAAAAAGAAAACTTAAATTCTGGTAAGCGAAAAAATCAGGGTACTAAACTATGCATATTATTACCACCACTTATGGGTGGGTGTTTTTTAAAGAACAAAGTAAACATATTGAGTTATGGTTATAAAAACTCAACCTCTGTAAGAATTCATAAGAAACGTATAACAGCATTTACATACCTGGGGGTCATGGTATGGAAAGCTATGTGTGAATTAAAAATGGGTCTGGAAAGGAAGAACACTCTTCACAAATATCTGTAACTGTTCTGATGTTTTAATCATTTAAATGTATTCCTTATCCAAAACTATGTCAGTCTTTAAAAAAAAAAAATCGAGTCTTGAGCCCTATGGACAGTGGAGACCGTGAGGCAATGGGTACATTTTTAGCCATGACGAGCTTTGAAAGTAGAAGTCGCCCCTGGGTTCCATCTGTGGCACTGAAGGGAAAAAGCCAAAAAGGGGGAAGTAACCAAAGTCGGATGATTTTGATTACTGGTTTGTTTCACCACTGCCACAACCTCTCCGTAACAATGGCTTCTGTATTTCCTGACTCAAAAGAAGTTGGGAAAAACACAGTATTTTATAACGACAGGAGCATAGCAGAATCAGACCTCCATGAGGCTTTCAGCATAAAAATAAAGGCTTTCAATATTTCCTGGGAAAAAACAGTGGTGAGAAAGGTAAATATGGCAAGCAATTGCCATCATTGTAGGGAAAGCTTAACTTTCAGTGTTCAGTAACGTCCCTGGGATTTCCATTTTCAAAAGCCATGCCACATAAAACACTACAAAGAGCTGAGGACAAAAATAAAGGTATCTAATGAAGTGCACCTGTACCATCACACCTTGGCATCTGACCAGAGATACTTGAAATCAGCTGTTTCTTTCAGATCTACACTTTCTGGATATCTTAGTTACTTTCTTTTTCTGCTGAGTCAAAATATCTGACACCCAAAGTTAAAGGAGGAAAAGTTTATTTAGCTCATAGTCTGTAGAGGTTTCAGTCCATAAGCAGCTGGCTCCAAGGCAGGGAGACATGACAGGATAAAAGCAGAAAGGAACAGTTCATGGGAGGCTAAAGGCAGCAAAGCAACAAGGGGCAACCACGTTCTTTCTATCGCTTACATCTTACACAGGCTACTTAGGGTGGGTAGCACTCATACCCTTAATGCTAACCTCCTTGACGCTAACATTGCACAGTGAATCAATCCCAGGGTCACACGCTTCTAGATCCAGCCACTTCTGAAAAAGCCACACCATGACTGTAAGAGGCTTTTGGGGGACATCTAGACACAAGCCATAACACTGGCTCATTCATCTTCTGACACAGGAATCATCACTCTGTGTTACGGATTAGATCTGAAGTCTCTTGCGTTTGGAAGGTGATTGGATCATGGGAACACTGTTAAGAATGTAACTATTGTGATCCTAGGAATTGGGATCTGCTCAGAGAAGGTGGGTCACTGGGGCATGACTTGAAAGGAGACTTCCTGGCTCCTCCCTTCACTCTGCTTCTCAGCCACCATGATGTGAGCAGGGTTCCTATGCCTACAGTGCCTACCCCGTGATGTCTGTGTTTGAGCCTGCCCAGCCACGGACTGAAACTTCTGAAATTGTGAATCAAAATAAACCTCTCTCCCTTTAAGTTGTGGGTGTTGTGTGTTATGCCCCGTGATAAGAAAGTGACTAAGAAACCATAATACTAAGAAACAAGGTAAAGGCACCAATTTTTCACTCCAGGTTAAAAGAATAAATACATTTGAGCTGCCATGAGACACTGGAGTAAAGCAGCCATCACAGAGAAGGTTTGGGCCCCCACCACAGCAGTGGGAAGTAGTGGGCATGGATCATTTACTTCATTTGCACTTATGGAGAGAAGAGGCTGCTTCAAGCCCAGCAGTTGGGACTAGACTCCATCCCAGTCTTCAGTGCTCATGCTCACGGTTGGTATACCCAGTACCAAGTGTGTTGCGTGTCTGGATTTTCTCCTTCCCACAGAAGCAGAGACTTTCTACCGTTGTGCTGCAAAACCCACACCAGCAGTGAGATGTGCAGCTTAATGACGTTTTCTGCTACACTAATGGTGGGAGGGATATTTTTTTTTTCATTTTAGTTTGGGTTTAAAAAAAAATTCTTCACAAAGATCAAATGTGTATTTTGTAAAATAAAACATCAACCAAGTACAACTACTGATACAATTCCTGGCTCACCTTTCCAGTTTATATCCCAGAATCGTAAAAATATATTTTCTTTCCCTGCCAACTGGTCACCTGTTTCCCATCTTCAGGCCACAAAGGGAGGCAGCATGGCTGCTGGCCAGCATAACACACTCTAGAGAACAGCCACGCCTAGGTCGGAAACACAAGCACGCTGTGCTTTGGGCTATCAAAACTAAAAAACAAACAGAAAAACCCACAACTTCTGCGAGGAAGTCGTTTCTGATTTTATTTCCACTGACTTGATGCATGCTGGACGAATTTCAGAATTTCAGTGCACATCAGTGCCGAGGGCTTCAAAGTGAAAACGAGTGGTCTTGAGGCCAGGCAGGTTCTCTGCTGGCACTCACTTCCTGTGCAGATGCTACACTGAGCAAAGTGTTTTAATGGTTTGGTGTAAACAGAGCAGGATTAGAAAGAAAGCTTTTAGAAACAGATTTTCAGAATAGTAAAAACAATTATTACATTCAAACTTCATCATTTGTG